GATGAAGAGGGCACACTGAAGAGCAGGATAAACAAGCTGAATATTCACTCCCTCAAAAAGAAGTCTAACAGAGTGACCGAGTACCTTAAAATCCTCAGTGGAGTCGAACCTCAGGTAGAGTATCATTTTGAAAGACTAAATATGTACTTTTTCATCAGTTTTCTCCTGGAAGAGAAATTACATTGTTACTTTATGGCTTTGGTGAGTTTATAGGACTTCATATCATTTTTATATTTTGCCATGTAAAACTATCATAATGATGAATGTCCACGTATTGTTCAAGATCCAATAGTGAATCCCTTTCCAAGGATTCCTTCTCAGTGCTGGATGCCATAGTCCAGACACCGTATTGTCTGGTGTCTGCTGGTTTATTACAGTAGGTCTCTTTAAAGCAGCAGCACTTGATGAGAAACTTGATGGTAAGTTGGTCCAACTCATTCAATACTGAGCACCCCAGAAACAGAGATGGCATATGACAGAAACCCACTGATTTTGACCACAGATACTCATTCTGCACTTTCTGCAAACATCTTTACTAGTTAAACTGCTCAGGATCTCGCTTCTACAGCCTGAGGTTTCCCATGGATTTGACTTTGAGTCATTGTTTGTTTTTCCTATTTGGTCTGTTGTCAAGGCAACTGCAATGGAAGAAACTCGGGAAAGCACTGTGTGTCCCTGCTTAAATATTAACTCTGACTTTTCAGGTTAAGGATGAGATATTTGACAAGGAAGAAAAAGTATTCAGGAATCTTGAAAAAGCTGTAAGGCAGTTGGTCAAAAATGTTTGCTGCTACCTCCATTATACACAGGTAAGAAAAAATGAAGTATGACTGGTTCTGTTGCGTAATGTCCTTTGCAATTTTGTAAGGCATATTCGAGAAGACATTAAATTAACTTTTTGAAGCAATTGTTTCTTTTGCTTAGCATGTTCGCTCTAGAATATAGTTCAATATAGTTTATTCAAGCGTAACAACAAAGTGAGCCTTGCTGCTAAACAGTACAAAACAGTGGGTTGAATTGTCTCCTGCTACGATTTTTTTCTGGCTTGAGTTAGTTGAATAACTGTTTAAATGAAAAGATGTTTGAATGAAAAATTGTTTAAATGCAAATGTAGCTGCCTTGACCTCAACCGTTGTCTTTCACTGAAAGGCAAATAAATCTCAACAGACAAGTTGAAAATGAAATGGGAAATTTTCTGTTCTGGCTCAATAACTTTATAGGAGATTATGACAGTGGCTGTCCAAAATGTCCAGGACCTTGAAAATATCCTACAGGACCCAGAGAAACTGAGCACAAATGGCTTAAATTGCAAGAAGAATGGAGACAACCCATATGTGCACTATGTAAGTGAGAATGCCACACTTTTTACTGCCTGTTACTGACTAATATTTTTGAACCTCTGAACTAACAGGAAGCACAGCAAGAAAGCTAATTAATAGTTCAGGAACAGAAAAAAGGAAAATCTCTAAGTTACTGGCCTTATGTTTTTATTTTTTCTTAAGTGTTATATCCACCCATTTTCTAATTTGTTTATCCAATTTAGGGTTGTGGGGGAGCCGGTATCCCAGTTAGCAACAGGTACAAGGCAGGTTACACCCTGGACGTGATGCCAGTCCATCACAGGGTACACACAGACGGGCTTAAAATTCTCATACCAGCGCCAGTTTTCCCAAAATCCAATTAACCTACAGTTCAGGATGAACTGTATTTGGACTGTGGGAGGTAACCAGAGCACCCGGAGGAAACCTGAGTGAACATGGGGAGAACATACAAACCCTACACATATGCACCTCAGGTCCAGAATAGAAGACAGCACTGCTAACCACTGTACCACCTACATATGATATATTCTTAAATGTGTGTATATATACAGTATATATTAATTTTTTGTTTCATATATATTGGCTTTTGATTCACATAATGTTAAAATAAGGAAATGTTTGTGTGTCAAGACCGCAGCTTACAACATTAAGCAAATTGTATTGTACAAGGTGACATACAATATAAAAGAAAATATTGTCTATATAGCACTGTACATTCTTTTTTTACACACTCGAAAAAGGCTCCACAGCCAAAACGTTGTGGTTTCTTTCTTCTCTTTTCAGCATGGAATAAACCTATTACTCGATCTTTTTTTACCTACAGTGTATGCCTTTGTCAGCCCAAGCCTTTCAGCCTTAACTGCACTTTCATCATTCTTTAATATCTAACCCGACGATTTGTTCACTTTTTAAAGTTCAGTCTTCTCTTTTTTTCCGTTTTTAATGTTATTCTGCCTTGGTGGGCATCTGGGCACATGGTTTCCTAAGCACCTGGAAGCTTCTCACAATGGTGTCCTTGTAGCTGGCATGCTAACAGTACAGTGAATCTGCTTCCTTCTGTTGGTGTGAGAGAGATTGTCATTCAGCCTCACAGTGCATTCTTATTCAATCGGAATTCAAAGCACATTGCTCTGAGGCCTTTCATTATCCTCTTTTGTACTGTCTCCTTTCATTCACTTTCAGCACTAAGCAGCACCTAGCAATTAATGTGGCATCTTCAGTCTGATGACTGTGTCTCAGTGAGGAGCACACATTCTGTAGTTTATTCACTTGACACTTGCAGTATTATTAATCAAGATACTGTAGGTGGTACTGTTACAGAAACTTGAGTGCACCTGTATACAGTATATGAAATAAAACAAATTAAAAGACAGCTTCATTTAGATAATGGATTGGAAGATGTGTGAAGTTCAAATATCCCAGATGATACAGTATGTACGGTTTGGTGATGTCTCTGGGATGTATCTGAGAATATGGGAGAGTCATGTTGTTGGTAAAAAACCTTAAGGTTTTGGTCTAAACATTAGGGCAAAATGTCCTAGATTACAAACGGTCCATTATAGCTGAGGAAGTGAAGAAAAGACCGAGATTCTACAGCTGAGATCAAATAAAAATCAGAGCATCCCAGATTTGCTATCCATGAAGAAAAAAATACAGCAATAGAAAAACAGTACATGGGACAATTCAGTTTAAATAGAAATGCTTTTTTTCAAATAAACTTTTAGAGCATAGCTATCCAAATCTGTGTTTAATTGACCTTTTAATTGACCTCACAAGCCCAAAAACCACAGATCCAAGCCACTAATTACAGCCTTACAGATGGGATTAAATTGTAGGAAACCGCATGCTGGGGTGCGCTTTCATACCATCACTGCGAATAATAAATATTCCCTTTGCCTGGGTTCTCCTCCAGAAAGACAAGCTGGAACGGCTGGTGCTGATGCCCCTGTCGATGCTACAGGCCATGTTCTCGGCTCCTCAGAAGCTCATTCAGAAACGGCACGACAAGCTGCTGGACTACTGCAGCCGGCTGGAGAGGGCTGCCTCCGACGAGCTGGGGTGCGCTCGCCGCGACTACGAGGCGCTGAACGCGCAGCTTGTGGAGGAGCTGCAGCGGTTTAACACGGCCGCCAAGAAGATCTTGTCAAACTCCATCTACTGCTTCGCTGCTCTCTTTAGGGACCTCATGGACTCTGCCCGGCAAGCAGCACCACCGATACAGCTCTTACCGGTAGGTGGTCATCAGTTGCAGTGAATTAATCTTTAGAAGACAATTTAAAACTTTATCGGAGCTGCACATTTTGCGTTATGCGTTAGCTGAATATGCCTACATTACAAAACACATTTTTCATTAAGGAAAAATGTATAGTTTCACTAGTTTTCTCATACATTATGCGGTCAAAACTAGTCCTCTGTTTTCTGCTGTATTTCTTCTAGCTCTTAAAGCTATATCACCATCACAATTTGGTTTAAATATGAGAATTGACTGAGCGGTTTAATTAGTAAAATAAATATTCATAACCTTCAACTTGTGATTTTTCCAGAATATACCTGAGTGGTATGTAAAAGTAGAGGCACATGAATTCCTGGCTCCCTGGCATGGCTTTGGTGAAGAGTAATAATCCTGGCACACTTGGTTAAACAAATGCTATTGACAATGACAGTGACACAAACTATACTACACACAGCAAAACATACAACAAACAAGTTACTATATTTACACTATGTATAGACAAGGTGTTTCAGAGGCCTAACATCCTAATCACCCAGAAAACCCCAGACTGCTACAAAGTGTAAAACGCTTAAATAATGCCTATAGAGTCCCAAATAAAATAATTGCCTTCTAAATAAATGCAATACAACCTGCAGTTAAATCTCCCTCTCATCGGATGCCAAAGAGTAAGTGGGAGCCTATCTCCCTCTTCTAAAAATACGCCCACAAGCAGGAAAGGCTGTCTTAAACCAAGGTATCTTTTACTCAGGAAACCTGTTCCCTAAAAACACTTTCGCCTGGCACAATCATCACGTTTTCTCTTCTTGTCCTTTGATTCTCCCTCTTTCTCATCTGTGGTCTTAATGTGATCTTATATGGTGTGTACAGTATCTGGGCTGCTCATTGACAATCATTTACTCACAGCTTAATTAACTAGGTAAATTTAGCAGTTTTTTGATCAGGGCATCCCCTGCACCACAGCAAACATCCCCTCTGCTTGGAAGCTGGAATTTTTTACACAGCCAGGTGTTACACACCTAAAATTCCTAGAGACACTTCCCAGTCACCTACAGCTGAAACCATATATCTTTTACTCATCTAAGTGAGAAAACTTGTGCAGTTTTTCTTAAAAATCTGTACATGTTTCTCTTTGTTTTACTTGCTTTACTTCTCCACTGCCTTCTGCATTCCTCTTTAATGAACCGTATAAAAAAGGATATAGAACAATGTACAGTAATAGCACAAATACACATGAATACAGGACATGTCAGTTCTCTGGGCAGTTTTAAAAATAAATATTTTTAAAATAAACAATCTAAACAAAGATGCTTTTAAAGTATTAGTGTCACGAACAGTTCTTTCCGGGCCCTATGCAGACGACACAATCCTGAATAGTGAGGAAACACTGGAGAAAAAGTCAGGCAGGAGACGGATGTGGAGATGGGGGGGTGTCCTAGGTGTGCAGGTGTCCCGGGCGAACAATCCAAGACGAAGTCCAAACGGGGAATCCAAACAGAAGCATAAGTCCATGGCCAGGCAATCCATCCAGGGGATTAAAAACCAAGAACCGGGTAGGGACCCAGGGGGGATCAGGAACAGAAAGTTAACAGCATAACGGAGCCAGACGCAGCAGGACCCGGGCTCTCACGAAACGGAATTCAATGAAGAGCCTCGAATGACGTCTGCGTCTGGCTTTTAAGGAGGAAAAGAAGAGGGGCTGGAATAAGGAACAGGTGCGGGTAATGGGGCAGAACAAGGAAGGGCTGGAGTGCCCTTAAGAGGAAGAGTAGTGATCATGACAATTAGTATGTGTAACAGTTTAAAATAAAGTTCAATGATTTCAATTTGCATGTAGCTGAAGAGTACGACTGTGGCTTGATTGAAGATTTATTACACAAAAAACTAAAATGCCCTTTTAAAACTGTTTCCACCAGAAAATATGAAACTTTCTGTGCTATAAGGCTTATCTTTTTTGTCTTTTTGATGTAGGGGTCTGAAATATAAGATCCCCACAGAAACTGGTAAATGTGTATTTTAAATGAAAGAAAGTGGTATTGGTGTGTCTGATGCTTAATTCTCCTGATTTCGAGATGTTATGTTGTCTTTATTCAAGGCTCCTTTGTCGAACCTCAGTGAAGTCCAGAACAGCATAATGGAGGAGCTGAACAACCTGGTTTTTGTCAAAGAAAATGCACAAAAGTTAATGGAACGAAAAGTGAGCTTTGAGAAATCCAGGAAAGTTCTGGTGAGCTCTCTTTGATGGATATCACTGTCTTTCTTTTATTAGGTGCACATACTGTACACATCAACTGTGGGACAGTTCATTCTGTGACCCGTGGAGTTTAAGACCTACTGTAAGATGCATCAATCCTGTGTAATTGTACATGCAATTGTATATAATATCTAAGGTGTTACGGAACCGTTTAGATCTTAACTGATTACTGATTGGTCTTTTAACTTACCAACTTCAAACAATGACAATGTGTTGGAAGGCTTCCCCACCTAGGGCAAACTAGTACTACCATCATTTAAAAATGGAATTGACAATCGGATCAGGCTCTCTTCCAAACTCCTCCTCGCCTTTAACATTGAATTGAACACTTTTTTTCACTTCCTCACCAAAACCGTCACTCTCTCCCTCTCATCCCTGTAGTACGAGACTCCCCGTCAGACTGAAGCTCAGAGGGAAAAGCTTATTTCCAGCTACCCTGCCGACAGACTGTACCAGCTGAAACGCAACTGCAATGCAACTCAGGAGCACGATGTGAGCCTGTTTGAGGGGGAGCTGGTGGCTGTGGAGGAACAGAAAGATCCACTAGGGAGCACAAGCAGATGGCTCGTCAACACGGGCAGTGAGTACTTATAAGTGCCCTTTGTTATGTAATGCTGCTGGCATGCGGGCTCTTTCGTCTAGGTTCTTGCTTTTCTGCTGTGTACCGGACTAGCTTTCTGCAAAATCTGTCATTCCAGGAATGCCCTACAGACTGTGTTGATACCTTCACGGTCCATTAAAACCACCACTGTAATAAACAAACTGATTGAAAAAGAATTTTCTTCAGCTTGTTGCTTGGGAAATGTACCATGGGCCCTTTTGTCTTTATGGCATTGAGTTTCACTTTACAGAAAACAAACTTCACACACTTCCAAGCCTGTTTATCTTTTTTTGGATGCTTACAGGTTCTAAGCAAGAAAGCATTCTACCAAACTATGACCTGTGTGACCTACAGTAGATTGCAGCTTTAAAACGAAAGTCCCAAGAGGCTATGAAAGAAAGACAAAGCAAAATTGATTGGCCCCATTTTCTGATGATACACCCCATACATTGTTCATTTAAACTGGTGGTTTATTAAGCATGTATTATATAACCCATTACCTTAACATCCCCTTTCATTGTAAAATGCTTTTTTTGGTATGATCAAAGCTCTTCTCTGCTTTGTATATAAAGTATATTCTCTGCAGAGAACAGCCTATTGCTTCTGAATGTTATAATAGTGTAGTTATAACTGTTCAAAGTGGAAAGGTGACTGGAGCACCTAAAGCGTACACTCTGGGAAGGACAAATGCAGTTACTATGCGTTTGTATCAGGAGACTCTTCTCAGACATCTCCAGGACAACACACTACAGCCTAGCAGTCAATATGATCCTGCACTCAGGAGGACAGATAAAAGGATGAGATTAGATCAGATTGTGGTTATCTGGCACCTTTGCCAAGGGAAAGAGGAAGGTGTGAGAGGTGAATGAATACTGTCTCTCTATTATAGAAATGTAAGGGATGAGCTGTGATTGCTAATTGCTGTTACTGTACATCAATATTATTATTAATAATTATAGAAAGAAAAACAGATCACTTATGTTAATAGCATCATTTGTCACATAACCTGTAGTGGTACAGAGAAACTGACAGCTTGGTTTTTCTCTTGTGGAATTTGAGGTTTCTTTCTTCATTGTCAAAAAGTGTGTATACGGTATATAAAAATAATAAAAAAACAAGATTATTCTTGCTAGTGCACTATAATATATACAATACAGTATATATATATGTGTACTTTATATATGCACATACAGGATAAGGAAAAGAAAGAGGTAAGAAAATGTATGAAGTAGATGGAAATATGTACAGTATGTAACAATGAATTTAAAATTAGATTATAAGTTCCTTATGTGAATTTCTAATTTGATTGACTAATTACTTTGTACAGCATTCGAAGCATCTTAACCACAGTAAAGCCAGACTTCAAGCTGGCCAGTCAGAGCTCTCTTCCTCTCAACAGGCACAGTGGGCTATGTCTACTCCTCCTTTCTGAAGCCATACAACCCCACCAGGGAGCTCAACGGCAGCATTCCCGAACAGCAGGATGACTTTGACAACATCAGCCTGTTTGTCTCTGGCAGCGGGAGCAACAGCCTTAGGAGCTTCTGTCTGACTGCTGGTGACAGCAGCTCCTCCATCTCAGGGCTGCAGTCCACAGCTGACCTTGAGGCAGACGGCATTGATGACCAGCAGGTAAGGCTCTGCCTTCTGAGAGGCACAAGCCGTGAGAGGACAAGGTTTAGCAAAGAGCACAGGGAACTTGGATAGGTTGAGCTCATGAAACTGTACTTAGAATAGGAAACGTCTAAAATAAATACAGTCCTCCCAACAATACTGGATATGCTTAACAAATTTGTCGGTGGCCTTTGCTTCAGACATAGGGTAGCAATGTGTAGATCTGGAACTAGATGAAAAACAGCACTTTTGCCATACATGTGAAGAGTATTGTGTACATATATCCCGTCAGATGTGATGATTTTAAAATACTTTTCTTGAGTCTAAAAATGTTAATGTAATAGAATGTTCAATATTTCAGGGCAACCCGCCCGAACAATAAGAAAATCACACCACCAGCATGGGAGTCAAGGGTATACTGACGAACATATCTCAGAGACCAGAGATCACAGATATTGTCTATACAGATGAATGGTAGGCAGGCGGTGAGGGTTTTAGTAGTTGTGATTGCTGCAGGCAGGTCAGTCCACCACAGAGGAGAAACACTCTTTCACCTCAGTAATGGGATGTCGTACTGCAGACGTGTACAAGTAAAAGAGAATGCAGGAGGTACTGAGAGTCTGGTGGAAGAGAGCTGAAGGAGTGAGATTAAAATCTGATGTTACACTAGGTAGGAACAGACTGGTTTTGACAGACGTAAGCAAAGTCTAGCTTAAATCTGATGTGGGTGGCAACAGGAGCCAGTGAAGGGACTGGAGTCATGAAGTAAACTGAGGATGAGAAAAAACAGTGGAGTAGATGAACAGTTTTAGCATGGCAGCTGTCAAAGAGGAGAAGCTCATATGAACTCAGGTGTGAGGAAAACTCATATGCCCCTTTCTTTTCAGGGCAGTCTTTATGTGTTTTTTGGTGGATAAATTGGCTTTGTAAATAACTATTAAAAGTAACGAAAACACACTTACAGGACACATATAAAAATCAAACAAGTACAAATGTTTAGAATCACTTGAAAAGGCACATCATGTGAGGACCTGTTTCAGGTTTAAGATGAGCAGATAAAATAGGCAAACTAACTGAGGAAGGGATATCTGAAATATAGAGCAACACAATTGTTTTTCAGTATTGTTTATTATTTTCTGTTTATACTGGTCTCAAAACTCCTTTTTTCTATTTATAATAGTCTAGCTACTGAAGTACAGTAAATTGATATAACATGCACTGCATGAACAGATGCCTTATCTCTAAGACACAGATATGCATCGTAATGCTGGCTCTGAGGAAAAAGCATACTAAGCAGACAGTGCTGACTGTGTAGGGGAGCAAGGCTAAAAATTATTTGAAATTGTAAGACCTCACTTATTTGCAAAGTATTTCCTTTATAGGGCAATGTAAGGTTTACGATTAGTCTTAGATTAAGTTGTAAAGCATACATCTTTATTGTTCACTTTTTGGTCGAAAAAGGATTTTGTGAGTTTTAAGATTTTTTTTTATTTTAACTTAATCCACATGCCCGTACATACTGGTCCATATATTTTCTATTGGCAAACTGCTCAACCCATAGTAAATCAGAGCAGTGGTTCTCAAACCTGGTTCTACGGAATCATGGTATCTTTTTCTCCAGCGTAGTTTGGAATCACACACTAGTTGTTTACAGCTTTCTACCTAGAACAAGACTGCTTTTAATTATTAAAAACATTGAATGAGATTCATGTTAGCCCTGCGCCACTTTCTGAGCCTCCATGCAGGTACAGTATGTTGCCTGAAACATAACCAACTGAGCCACTGCAAAAGGAAAACACGACACACTATGGGAATGTCGGACACATTGTCTTTCCCGCGTTCCCAGAGTTGTTTCGACAGAAATACAAGTAAGCAAGCTGAGAAGGGAGCATAAAGTTCTGTACACTGATGTTTCTGGAAACAATTCTCTTCTCATTGGGTATTTTGGGACTCAGAACTGAGTGCCAAATTAAGTACACCAAATGCCTAACCGAGCAAGCAGATCACTTAGTGTTGTCAATGAGCTCTGGAAAATTCAAACTCATTTGGATCAATAATCAGCAGACGTGGGTAAGCAATTCTGAATTAGACAGAGAATGGAAATCTGCCTCTACTGAATGTCAGGACACTTTTTATTGATTTTAATTAATATGCCTGAGTTATTTGGTCTTTGATGTGAACTTGATGAAGTTTTTTTTTCTAATCACGTTTCATTTAACGACCATAATTCATAATACTTAGAACATTGAAAGTTCACAAAATGTCATTAGAGCAAGAAATGGTCACAAGGGAAATATTTAGAGCAGCACAGTGATGTGGACATGGTGCTGTTGCCTCATAGCTTTTGGGTCCTGGTTAGAATCTGGGTTCTTTCATATTCTCCCCAGATTTCCATGGGGATTCGTTGGATGTACTGCTCTTCTCTCACTTTTTAAAGAGAAATTAAGATCTTCTTTTAATCTGAAACTCTTCTGTTAATATGTTAATTGGTATCTCTAAATTGTTCCTGTGAATGTGCCACAGAATGGTCTGGCATCCTGTGTAGAGTGCGGTTCAACACTTTATCCTTTGACAGTCATTCCCAGCCCTAGTCCAGGAGGAATATTCTCTACCGGTCTTCATTCCAGCTGAATCCTGAAATGGATTAATGAGCATTCAATTATTGGCAGTGTGAAGGTCCTACTGTCTCAGAAAATCATATGCATTCCCAATTTAAATTTAGAGTTATTATTCTTGTGCACCCCCTCTAATAGAGTGGAGTGAATTTCCAAGATGACAACAAATCCAAATCTTTTGGGGATTTTGCAAAATAACAGCCCTCAAACTCATTCCTAATTTTTGGAGCTATGAACTTAAACCAATTCTTCCTTCAGTCGTAATGGACTTGGCTGCTCATGGGTGCTAAAAACGTAGATTTCTGGACACTGTCAACGCTGTATTATTTTAGGTGACCCATGTAACTGACTCATCATAATCACGGCCAAGCCACTCAGGACATCAGTCTTCCTTCTTGGAAAATAGAGAAGGGGGAGCAAATGGAGTGGAAGATTGCACGCATCTGACGTAATACTGAAAAGTAGCTGTTTGTTGTGACAACACAACACCAGTGTTTGCCAATTCTGTAATTTTTTTAAAAAGGGACGGGGCGTCCAGTGTAACCTTCAGACATTAGTTTCAGCAAACCTCGACAAAAAAGACTGACCCCACGTAATGCAGGATATACAGTATGTGTAAAACAATCTTACAGTGAAAACGTGTTTTTTTTTGTAAACACTGACACCTGCTGGGGAAAAACAAACACAAACTGTGGTAATGATCTTTTAAGGGAGCAGGGTGGTTTTGTCATTTTATGACTAGTATTGTACAGCGTGTGGTGTAGCTTAGTCTCTAACCAGAGGTGCTGTTTGTTTATGTTGCAGTACTATGCGGTCTACGCTTTTCAAGCTCGCTGTGAGCAGGAGCTGAGCCTGCAGGAGTACCAGCATGTGCGGATCTTGAAGTTCTGCGACCTGAGCGGCAATAAAGAGTGGTGGCTGGCTGAAGCCAATGGGCAGAAAGGCTATGTACCAGCAAACTACCTTGGAAAGATGTCGTATGCATAACAGATTCTCATGAACTTTGCCGAGTGCTGCATTAATTCAGTCTCTTATGAGAATCCCTGCTATTTTTATTATTGTTGTCAACACTGTGAGATTATCTTTGTGAATGAAGTACCATCTTGCACTATAAATGCTGAGCACTTAGTATTGCCACATACAGTGTTTTAACGCAATGAATGTTATTCTACCTTAATTTGTTTATTAAGTAAATATTGTTCTATCTATAATGTATATATACAGATTTATATGCAAAAATGCTTATATGAAAATATATTTTAAACAATCATGCAGTGTCAGAGAATACGTTTCTCTTCTTAGATGTACGTTCTATTTATTTTTTTATGAGATGAATAAAGATACGCAGCTATACAATTGAGAAATGGTCCAAAGAAATTAACATTTTGCTTGTTATTACTAATCATTACCATTAATCTGACAGCCTATGAAGAACATATCTTCCACCCTTAGGTTACAAAACATATTCAGACAATTCTTCAAAGGGAACTTCTATCTAAGCCAAGTTTTATACTTATGGCAAGGACATTGCATGCTTATGGAATAAACATACTTGATTATGATTCCTCTTCTGATTTAATAATGATTTTTAATTTCCTTTCTTCAGTTTGCTCGTTAGCCTTAATAAACTTTTGGTCTTCAACCAAAATCCTACAATTATCTTTAAAATTCTTAATTCAGAAAATTCTTGTAGACCCTGAACAATTCAACTTACAGTGCTTATCATATTTCACAAAAAGAAATTTCAGGGAAAACTAAATTGTGATGCTGGACCTAGGAAATACTTTCAGGAACTGGCCTCCTCTATCTCCATCTCATTTCACTGGTCAACATCCATATTGCATATGGAGCAGTTTCTGATTTATCCATTTGCATCTCACCACAGCAACCCACGGGTGAGAATGTTCTAAAGTTCACAAAATTATCTGAGCTCGGAGTTGTGCCATGTTAGGTTCTCCTTATCAGCCTGGTACACTATGTAGACAAGCTGGGGGGGTCAGTATGAGCCAGTATATCTCACCGTAAGGGTGATTTACCAATGGACCCCTTTGAACATTTTATTAGTGGGCATTGATTTCAGCACCAAGAAGGAATGAATAATGGGAAAATCCCAAAGCAATGTACTGGAATTTGACCTGCTGTAATGCAGATAAGTGTAAACCACTCCTAATCCTGGACTCCCACAAAAATCCCAAACCACTGGCACATGGAAAGAATTGAAAGGATTTAATAACACATTTAATTTATTCTGGTGAATACTAAAAAAAAAAAATAATCTTTGCATCAAAGGTTATTATTAGCAAAAACAACAATTAAAGGAAGATATACTATGTCACCATTATCAGTCCTATTCTTACAATGGTAATAACACAAGCAACACTCTGAGGCATTGCTACAGAGCTGATCCTCTTACTACCTCAGAATTAACCTTCTGGAATGAACTTGTAAAAACTTGCAGATCTAAGATATGTATAATTTACCTTTGTCTTTTTTTTTATTATTTTGGCTTACTGGCAGCTGCTTTCCCATCCTTCTCAGTATTTGTTTACCATGCAGAAAGAAATGCTGATTTTCGGTTTCATTATGGCATTATTTACCACAAAGGATTGATTGCAATACTTGTAATATACTGTCAGATATAGTGTTGATATTTATGTTCTTGTGTTTCAATGATTTAAAATACCTGAATAAATATCTGTTACTTTCCTGAGCCCATGCTCTCACCTCTTGTCTGTAAAAGTTCTATTAAATAATTTATAAACACTTAGTTTTACGGGTGAAAGGCTCAATCTTCACAAACTTAGCAATGACAACCTGACAAAGATAACAGTGTTTTTTATTAACTACACCAGCATCTGTTGACAATGGGGTGAACTATCTGGCTTAAGATTTCTGAAAGAAAATGTGTAAAACAACTAGTAAACAATCACCTAAGTAACTGCAAGATTGATACAACAGACTTGACATATGTGCAACTGTAAGATTTTATCAATAAAATGTGACATTGTTTTTGTCTTCCTACCCGATTGGTTTAAAATGTCAAGGAAATGCACAATTTAACAATTTAGTCTAGTCCAGGTGCAAGTTAAGGTCCTTAAAATTTTAGGTTGAAGTCTCACCTAAATCATACGGAATAAATTTAGGCTGCAGTCCACACAACATCAGTATGGCTGATTACCTTAGAGTGCAACAGCTGCTTAGTTAGGTGCAGAGAACAGCTGGAATACAATTAAGAAGCTGGGAAATGGAAAACGTATAGAAAAATTATCATAAAAATAATAAAGTCCATCTGTACAATCTAAAATGAGGTCTTGGTTTCTCAGTTCTTATAATGGTTTGAACAGAAATTAAACGCAGAACTCAGTTAACAAATGCTATCAATTTTATTTGCTTTCCCCAAAAACCTTTTCCTTTCCACTGACAACAACTTGTTGAGAGAGGACAACAAGAACTGTACTCAGTGATCGGATGAGCTGCAATGCAGTGGAGCACACTATTTCCACGTGTATTTCTGAAATACCATTTAGGATTTTTCAGCAGCATATATAGTGAAGAATTCAAGTATTTTGTTTTTCTATTAAAAAAAAAAGCGTAGTGGAGAAAATCCAAAAGCTACACGTGCCTTCTTCCGTTCTCACTCTGAGGCAGTGTAGCTTGTATTTAATCCACCTGGAACAGTGTTCTTATTTTTTCAGTTTCTTCTGCGCTGCTTTCTTCTTCACCATCTGCAAGCGCTTCATGGCATTCAGCTGCGACTCCTGGGAGGTGGGTGCTTTCCCTCCAGCCAGTGGGTCAGCAGACGCTTTTGTTCCGTTGTTGTTGTTGGTGCTGCTGGTGCTGCTGCTGCTGCCCCCACCATTCCCACCATTGCTCCCACTTCCCCCATTACCACTGCTGCCAGCCTGGCTTGTACTTGCCGCAGGGCTGCTGCTGGGCCCCGCCAAGCCCACCTTATTGACGCTGTCACTGCTGGATGAGCGGTTGAGGCCTGGCTTCCCCAAAGTCAGGGGCGGCGGGGGCTTGAGAGGGACAGCGGTGGAGCCATTGTTGCCGTTGCCGTTGCCTGCTGCCATTTTGGACCCGAGTCCCGACTTGGCGCTGGCCAGCCCAGACAGTCCCACCGCCGGCTTCTGACTGGAGGTCACAGAGGTGGATTTCCCACTGGTGCTCGGCGTGGAGGATCCCAGCTTCGTGCTGGCTGGGCCAGCCGTGGAGGTCTTCGCTGCAAAGGCGGCCCATCCGGTCAAACCACTAGCTGCAGGCAGGGACGAGCTGTTGCCGGAGGGGTTTCCCGACACCGCAGTGGACGCCTGCAAAAGTCACACAGACCCTTCCTTACAATAAACGCCGAGATCCAGGATCCGCTTGAAATAACCTGCGTACTTGGCAAAGAAAAATCTCTCAGGCTGAGAAAATTCAGATTCAAACAACACACCCCTGTGCTGCAAACTATATATTATGAAAGTTAACACAGCCGTCTAGATTGTGTAATAAGGGAACATTTTTAATGCCTCAGTTCCCTTTACTGTCCAGGTCTCGGAAAACACCTTACCTTAACTTCTGTTCTCTTAAAAGCCTGGAATGTGCTGGCAGTGTCCTGCTTGGGCTTGACCTCTGGCTTCTTCACCAGAGTGTCCTTCACAACGGGGACAGCAGAGGTCACAGCAGGGGCTGGTTTCTGTGGAGGTTTTTGAGTCTTTTGTGCCTGTAAACAAACACAAGATATTTGATCTCAAATCATACACGTTATTTGCCAAAGCAATTCCTGTGCAAAAGTCCCATCCATTTTTCTATTAAGACCACGTGAATCTCTTAGAACTATAAGAGTCAGAGTTTAAAAATTATATAAACTGCTTATTCAACAAATTATTGGCCTCTGAAAACTAAATCCTGAGGGGCTTATGTTTTTATTCACTTCAGCCATATTTCTACTCTAGAAACTGAAGAATAGGATTCAATTGAATTGTCTTCAAAGTAATGCAGTTTTTAAAGGAATTTATGTTCATCTAACAACGTCTGGTCTTTTGAGAATATTATGACTGAATGTCTTAATGACCAAATTAATGGCTGTTGGTATGCTACATCTGATGCTACTTTGTCACAGTTACAATTACCAAAGATACTCTTGACTTAGAAGGCAAGGAATTGTACCTGAAAAATCAATTTAGCTATTCAAGAGAACAGCATTTAATTTGCAGCACGGTTTACAGTTGTAAAGTAAGAGAAAAGAGTATCTGTGTTGTTATTTTGCAGATTGTGCTTTTAAACTTTTAACATTTACTTTCAAACAAAATATTGTCCTAAAGAAGCATTAATCCCCACAGAGATGCCAAAAATGACATATCTGTGTTGGTGTTTCTTTCAGTAAGTATGAAAAGAATACATCAAATGCAGGCTTTGAAATAATAAAAAATCAAAACAGTATGATTTACCTTATAATATAATTAAAACCAAATGCTGATTTGATATGATTTTCTACAGGTAAATGTTCAGCCTCTGCTGCCACCTTGCTTTTAAGCAGGGTAAAACTTTTTTCAGAGATATTCCGACAATTTTACTTAAAAAAATAAAAAAAACATTTTGTTGAATGGTACATTTACATGTTTCTTATATTAGTGTAAGATGCAGCTTCACTCCAGACATATTCTGGATACTTATATAAAAAACTGACTACCAATTTTCAGTTTTCCTTTCAGGAAAAAGCAGAGGCAGTGTATCTTATGCAGATGCACAACACTGCCTGTTCACACCTTTGATCCAATTCTGTTATTTACACAGATTTGATTATTGTTTAAGTCTTCTAACATTTAATTGCAATCTAGGCTCTGAATTCAGCCTTACCATGCGCTTCATCTGCCTGGTGCACCGGGCGCAGTACCACACCAGACGTGGGTCGTTGACGTCCTTGTCTGTCACCTGTGGCTTGTGACAGTCTTGGTGATAAAGATTGTGACACTCCTGACATTCCACAAGCTGGTTCCCTGAGGTGACTGTCATCTGCCTGCATTAACAGGGTGAAGGAAAGGAAAGGAAACAGATCTTACAAATGTATATTTAACTGATGTAGAGTTGCAAAGCAAACATTAGTGCAAAACAATTTCACACCATTTTCACAACAAATCCAGTGGTAATTAAAAATTTTGACTTGTTTAAACTTCATCCTCCCCCTTTAATGATAATGCCCATTTTCATGCCCTCTCGCCATTTTGAGCTGTCCTAGGTAATAAATGTTCACTGATGGGTGAGCCATCAGTGAAAATTAGATAAGATAAGTTCACTTTATTAGCCATATACAATTTCTTGCATTAGGAATTCGTCTTTCCGCATACCCCAGCTTGCTCTCCATGAGATACACAGACAGGGAGAGAAGCTTGGGGTCAGAGCGCAGGGTCAGCCATTGTACAGCACCCCTGGAGCAGTTAGGGTTAAGGGCCTTGCTCAGGAGCCTAATGGAGTAGGATTCCTCTGCCGGCCCCGGGATTTCAACCAGCAGCCTTCCAGCCACAGGCACAGATCCTTAGCCACAGAGCCTACGCTTCACCCCAGACACCTATCCCAAAAGGTACTATCCCAACTGAAGTAATTTTTTTTTGTATTCTATAACTGTGATGCGCAGAATGGTGAAATACCAGCTTCTATTCCCAAATACTGGTTAGAAAAATCTAAGAAAATTATAAAAAAACCATTAAAGTATGGCAGGCCAATTTTTATTTTTCAGTTTAGTTAATATTTATTAATATACTAAAACATACAAATGTGTAAAACTGTAATAAAAGACAAGATCGTCTTTGCTTTATTTAGATTACTTTATGTTCTATAGGTGATCAACCTAGGCTGTTCATACTGTATGCAATGAGACGTTACTCACCTACAAACCACACAAGCCAAACCCATCTCCATAGCAAAATCATCGGCACTCGTCTCGTCAAAGCTGGACAAATCAGGAATGGGGAGGTCCTTGCTAGTTTGAACTGTGATGGGAGACGATCTATTCTCCTGCTTCTCCAGGCGAGGTTTCTTTGGTGGGTCAATTGCATCAACGGGATCCACTTTAACCTGAAATGACAGAATACAGGTGAAACTGTGGCACGTGTATCATAGGAGCCCCCCAATTTTAATTAACACCCAGCAATAGCAAACTTCCTATTGGGTTTCTACTAAGTAGTAATTATTAAAATATTATTTTTCATATTACAGTATTTATACATGCGAACAATACTGATTTGGGTTTCCTATTGGGTTTCTACTAAGTAGTAATTATTAAAATATTCTTTTTCATATTACAGTATTTATATATGCAAACAATACTGATTTGGGTTAAATTTTTAAATACATTAAGTATAAGAACACAAGGACCTTTGTCCTAAGATGAGTGATGGTTAAAAACATTGTAACCATTAAAAAAGCCACAGAATGTTCAACAACATTGTGTAAATGTGAAACAGTCTACATAAGCTTTGCATGCTAATGATACAACTCATGTATTCCTGCTCAGTTTCACCTTAAGAATGAGATACCTAACCCAAGGTATCGGAAAAACTTCAGATAGTGGTTGTTTAGAAACTAGGACTGGCAAATGCTTGCCATCCTCATGAATGGGAATCTTCCTTTTTTTCCTCGTTTTCCTGACAGTTTACCTTCTCCGATGTTCTTTTCTCACTCTCTTTTTTGCTTTTTTCAGAGCTGCTTGACTTGCCATTGCCACTGCCTGAGGAAGAGGAGCTAGAGGAAGATTTTGTCTCCTGCTTGCTCAAGCTCACTTTCGGAACGGTCACCTTGGAGACCTCCACTTCCTGTTTGGGGAAAGAAAGATTTCACACCACAGGTAGGACACGCCAGTGAAGAACAACAACAAAAAAAATAGAACAGAACAAAATGAGTGAAACTCTTTAAAGACAAGTCTTTGATTACTTTTACTCTTGTAGGCTGAACTGTGTCCAGATTACAGGATTTCCTTTGTAAACAACGTTCAAACACAAGGGAAAGCCCTTTTTTGTTACATTTTAAAATGTTATTTCTCAAAAAAAAAAGCAAGGTCATGGCTCTGCAACAAACTAGCGCATCATGGCTCAAATGTAAGGCCTTACTCATAATTTTCTGCAAAAGCTTACCTTGAGCGTGGTCCGATAGTTTGAATCACTTCCCCTTGCCAAGGATTCATCTAGCAGTGCCTTCAATTTCTCTGCTGAATCCTTGCTTTTGGAATGCAGGTATCCAAGGCCTTTCAGAAAGATTGGGTCCAGCTCCAGACTTACAGTGGCAGCCATGATCTCTGTCAGCTGTTATGGACATACAACATGAATCTGCAAGGGTCTTGATGCGAGAGTTGCCATCAGTGACAGAGCATACCTTAAGTGTGCAGTCTGAACGTGAAGGAAGGGCCAAAGGCTGATGCATTTCTTTGTCTGTTACTGTTTAACTGACAAAACATTATGCATCATTTAATCTCTTTTCTGGTTCAGAGAGTGGCCACATTTCCCTCAATCCTGTTCAGCTGCTGGAAAACATAAGAAAATGACTGCTTGCATTTAATATTAAATAGTTACGTACTAAATGGACACCTCCACCAAAAGCCTGCACTATATTGTCAGGGATGTATAGGTTTAGCTTTTTCTGCAGATATATTTTTATGACTTGAATCTCATTTTGTCCTATTTTCAGAAAATCAGAGGTCAAATGGAAATTTGTAAAAGTATCTGAATAGTCACTTTGTAGTGTAACAAACGATATTAATCTCTTGGTTCACAGCCATATAAAACATGCTGTTATGCCGTTACAGTCGCACCGAGTAAATTGCCAGTTGGATCGTCCAAATTTTATTAATGAAATGCCCTGTCGTTTATTTCAAAACCTAATACTATTACAGTTAAGTCATAATACTGATATTTTCTATATGAACAAAAATATTCATTGGTATTCCCTTTTATAAATATCTTATACTTACAGCCAGTGGTGGTAACGCTTTATATCATAAGGAAAAAAATAAGCATTTTTTATTAATTTATTCGTATCATTTATTCCCTTCAGAACTATTCTGAACGAACTATTTTGTCCAGAATCCGGAACCAGCCGTACAACTACTCCGCAGCACAGGATATACTATTGCTAAAGAAAAACACGTATTACACAATAACAAAATCTTTGAGATTAAATGCCTTTTTTTCCAAATATTACTTCACCTCTCTAGTTTTACACTTCATCACCACTGGTGTAAAAATCTCGGAATGGGAATATTGCTACTAGATTTCCTAATCTGTCATCTGGACGGAAGTACATACATACACCTTGCAACAAACTTATTTCAACTGTAATTTAAACACCTCTTGTTTTTAACGCATTTCCTTTCTTACCTTTGTTTTTCGAAAATAAAAAACAAAAATAAACTGATGCAAACTAACATCTGTTCAATTTATATACCTATACATATATATATAGCTCCGTATATTTACAATTTACGCCGCGAGCATGTCCCTTTCCGAGATGATCTATAACCATCCTTCCCCTTTTTGTGTTCGGGGGAAACAAAAACATAATATTTGTAGCCTATCGGGGAAAAAAACTTTTTTGATCGTTCATAAAACAGTTAATCAGCATTTAAATCATATAATAAAAACAGTTAATTCATTTACGTGCCATTTTTTCCAACTACTTAACGACTATTTAATTTAAGATGACGTTTCCCAACCGTCGGTTAAGGGTGTGAGATGTTACACGGACACGTTTCTTGGTGACACAAGGAAGAAAAGGTTTGAAACAGCGTGACTGTGTGCAAAGAGAACTGTAGCTGCAGAGGCTTGCTGTGAGTAGAGTAAGCTGATTTCGTTTTTGACGCTTGCGAAAACAAACAAGAAAAGCGGTGAATTGAATGGGAGAGATTCAAACAGTAAAATAATAATAAACATCAACAACTTCTTTTAGGCGCAACATGTTTATAAAGCTAGACATGTGTACAAGATCTGTATAATAAAAACCCTACAGAAATACCTCTTGATATGTTTTTACTTTTAAGTTAAATGTTGTAAATGAAACGAAATGTCGTTGTCATTTTAACTATTTTAATTTAATTAAACGTCTGATTTGTTATAGTGTCTTAGGGTCCACTTGGGCTAGAGAGAGAATTTTAGTGCACTTGTCTTGAAAACTGCTTGTTCAGTTACATTTGATGTTGATCGCATTCGCATGAAGGGTGTTGAATCTTTTACTCCTCACCTTTAAAAAATGAAAAATTTGCAGTGAAGTTGAACTAATCTTAACGGTAGCATATTTTCATTGACACGCTGATTTTTCTCTTGGGCAGAACGTATGTGTGGGTCACAGCATGTCTTTCTCTTCTGGGGGCTCTGTAGATTCATCTGCTTTTTATTGCTGCTTCTCATTTGAGTTAAGCTTTTAATAGGAGTCAGATAATCTGGTTTTAGGTCATAGTAAATTTCTAATGTAAAGGCAAAACAACAGACCTGCATACGTTTGTCTGATTTTCTGTAAATCAGTCCTAATCATTAATCTCTGTAATATGGTCAGATTATGAATGCCCCTGCGATAAGTCCACTAACGTGCCCTTTTAAATTTTAGGTGTGTCGTTTCTGAGACCTGGGTGAAACAGTGTAATGACGTTTCCTGTAATGGTCATGACATCTGTTTTGCACTGGTCTGCAGTTGTGCTGATGTTGCAGTTGCTTAACAGAAAGGAGGTGGATTTCTAAAATGGTCTGCTTGATTCCAAACAGTAGATCACGAAGACACACAGAGTCACACAAGACGACTTTGGCTGTTATTTTTTGAATCCTTGTGTCCTGCAATTTGGCTTTCCTAAATTCTGTATTAATTCAACAGGGAAATCAATTTCTCACTTCTATGCCTGATCTGCTGTAGAGTGGCACTGCCACATATCCCAAAATAATAATTAATAATTGCTTACACTTATAAAGTGCTTTTCTGGACACTCCACTCAAAGTGCTTTACAGGTAATGGGGACTCCCCTCCACCACCACCAATGTGCAGCATCCACCTGGATGATGCGACGGCAGCCATAGTGCACCAGAACGCTCACCACACATCAGCTATTAGTGGGAAGGAGAACAAAGTAATGAAGCCAATTCAAAGAGGTGCACCTCTTCAGTTGTGGACTGTGGATCCCCTTCTATATATGAAGCACTTGGGAATCCTTTGTTTTGCAAAGTGCTACTGTATATAAAAGGAAAAACATTCGCTTACTATCACATTGCAATGACTTTTCCTATGCATAGTTTCAAAGATGTTACATATACACTTCTTGAATATTAAATGTTAAACCCTGTGTATGTAGAGTATGTATAGAAAATTATTGAGAATCACACTATCTCGTCATTGAGTCTTACAGATTGAGGCTGTACTCTAAAGGTTTAGCCCATATTTCTACTTTAATAAAGCTAAAAATATAAGTACATAAATGTACCTACAGACTTATTGTGCTGTTATGTGAACATTTAATATTCTTTTCTTTTTACAGAGTATATTGCTGTGCCTCCAATGCAATGAAACACACAAATTCAAAAAGGGGAGAAGAGTGTCTCTACCTGGACATTTCTGACCAGAGTGAAGAGGCCATTCTCCCTCTCCACACGTCCATAACGCTCTTTCTCCTGTCGTACTGTGACTCCAAGTTATTCCGTGTCTTCCTGGTTCCTTCTCGGCCTGACCCGGCGCAGTCATGGAGGCACCGAGTGCCGGGGGGCCTGGCCGCCAGCGTCGTCTCCGAACAGGACCTGCCCGCGCTGGTGAGAAGCTGTTGCCTTCCTGCGGTGCTGGAGGAGGAGGGCAGGTATTGCCGAGCAGGCCTGGCCGTAGTGCTGAGACATATCATTCAGAGGACTTGCGAGGAAGATCCCAGCCGCAAGGATGTAGCGGCCCTGCTGGGCTTCAAAAAGACCTGCCTCAAAGCCTGTGCCGAAGTAAGTCTGTTATCTCATTCTTTTGTTTTCCTTTTGCTTGTTTATTAATGCAGATATGCTAGACTGTATTGTTGACTATCTAATTACTGTAGGTGTATTGCTTGTGATGATAATTTTTTTTACTACTACATTTTTATTAACCATTCCAGCGAAGGTAGTTTCTCATATCACTTCAGCTTATTGTTCATCAATAAATAGGGGAAGAAAAACAGTCCTGATCTTAAGCAGTATGGTATTCACTCATTATACTTCACTGAATCATTTCTGCACATTCGAAACGAAAAAGTCTTTTTTAACTGAGATGAGGAAAGTGCATTTTACACAACGGGTTTATGTTAAACAAAGATAACTTGCTGAACAAATAGCTCCTGAGAATGACAGTGAACACATATAAGTAGAACAAGTATACCCCATTCGACGCCCATCTCCCCAGAACAAACAAGCACTCAGGTTATATTTGTGAGGTTCACATGGACATGATCTGCTATTATTACCATACTTTTGTTTAGTGGTATGTGCTTTAGAGGGGCATTTGTAGTCTGTTCTGTTTTGTGTGTGACTTTCAGTAGTCATCATATTAAATCATATGATGGAAAATGCAGATAGTGTAATTTATTACATTGCAATGGAAATTGATTTAGTTTATAGGAACAAATGACAGGTCTGTTTTCTGCTACTTGTATGGTGTAGTTATGTTGCATCACCAGGATAAACCTTATATTACTTCTGTCATAGGTAGGGGAGGTCATCAGTGATTATGATAATAGTTTTAAAAGGGGACATGGGGCTGCTGTATCTCTGTCTTGAGGGAAATGTTAGTGAATTCTATTTACTGGAATAACTGTGTTGATTTCTGGCCTAGGTAAGTCAATGGACGCGGCTCTGTGAGCTCAACATCCCCTCAGCTGTGGAGGAATTTCTCAGGCAGCCTGCAGGCCCAGATCCAGAGATACCCGCCGCTATCTTGCGCCTGGAGAAGAAACTGGAAGAGCCCGTTAAGGTCCACAATGACGACAAGATCCGCCGGCAGAAACTGCAGCAGCAGAAGGAAGAGGCAGGCTCTGCCACCCAGCCTGCTTCATTCCGGGAGTCAGTGAACTCGGAAGAGCTGGAGCTGAGGGCTGCCTTGGCCAAGCTGTCTGTGGAGGATACACCTTTGTCAGCCACTAGGGGGCCCTCTAACATCAGGAGAGTCAAGACCACTGAGCTGCCCGCCCTAGAGCATGTGTTTGCAGAGGGGCTGTACTTCACCCTTACAGACCTTGTCCTGCTGCCTTGTTTGCACCACTTTCTGGTAAGGATGCAAATCAGTGAAATTGTGAATAACACAGGCCAGGTGCTATACTTAGTGAAAAAAAGTTGTTTTATTCACAACTTTTTGGAGTCTTTATTGTGGGTGAAAAAAGTACTTGTAGTTTTACATATGGGGGGGGGAGCTCACCAATGCTATTAATTCAATAAAAATCTTTAATAAAATAATTAAATGTTAGTGGATGTATCTTTAGCTTACACATTAACTTGTATTCAGCTACATTTCAGAACTTACATTCAAATATAATTGTGGAAGTGAAAAAAAAAAGTAGGATTTTTCGAACCTCCCACAGAGTGTCAGGTTGGAACAAAACAGAAATTCAGAATACTCAATACTTTGGGGGAAAAAAAATGATAAAGCCTACAGTGTTTGTGCTGTTGCTGGTTAGTGAAACATGCTGTCAGCCAATATAACATGAACAAAAGCAATGCACACAAAATTCTCTTTCAGAAACAGAACTTTATTTGACCCTTTAGCCTTCTGTGCCCTGTTAATTCAGATGAAGGGAATTAATCATTAACTATGGTCAGTTTTAAAGTACAGTATCAGCCACCTTGCAGGTGTGGAATGCATGAGGTGCACGTTATTAATGTTAAGTCCACTAGAAGTGTTTTTGACTTGTTGGAGAATTGTACCATGTGCTTTAACCATTCACATCTTTAATGTTTTGTAATATTATATTATTATCAGGACATACTGCTATTGTATTCTCATATGTAGCAGTGATAAGGTTAATTATAGATCTTGTAAATGCAAACATTGCTTTAAATGCTTTAATTTTGTCACGCTCTTGCTAAGCAACCACAGAATTATTTTCCCGTATGTGATGGTAAAGGTCCCTCTAAAGAAAAGCAAAAAGAAAAGCTCTTAAATACAAATCCATGTACTGGAAAGGGAATACCCTGTGAAACTGACAGATACCAGTTTTGCATGTAAAGAACGTTTCGGAAATCCTGTAGGTCTCGGCTGGATTCAGGATTTGCTGTTTGTGTAAGAAAGGTTCTTTACACAATAAAAGTGGATAATGCTAAGGATAAAAAGCATTGTTATAAACCCTGCCCTAAAACAAGGATCTGAGAAGATACAAAACCCATAATGTTAATACTGTGCCGGAGGTTTTACTTCAAAGATCTTGCAGGTTCTGCAGATAAAATACTCCAAAGTAGGCTTAACAGACTATCAAGCCCTGCACCACCACCAATGACACAGTGAAAGCCCTTTATATGCCTAAACATTTCAATAAGTCCCATACCAAGAATTTTGAATGATCAAACACCAATAATCTCATTCACAAATTATTACCCAGTGTGTCTATCTACAAATGAAAGAGGCCTTTTTGTGGCAAATAAGCTATTAAACTGTCCCCTTAAAGACCAGACAGCTACAGGCATCTGGCTGTTGAGAGTGTTTCTTTGTGTCTAATGCCATTTTGTCAAATGCAGGACTGTTTGAAGGGACTGAATTGCTCAGTTGTGTGTTGCAGACTGAAAAACATTGTATAAGACTGAATAATTGTGGGCTGGCCACTGTCAACACTGTAACAAAACATTTTTACGGTTCTTGTGTAAGCAAACAGGAGAAAAAATGTTCAACACGACAAGGAAGGGAAGTAAGAGGGTATTAAGCACTTGAACTGATGAGAAATTAGAATAAACATATCATTACATGTACAGGTACTGGTGAAAGCTTTCTTTCCGTAAACCGCTGTGTTTGACAGTTCTGACAGCTGAGTGTCACGTATGAGGAAATGGTTTATACTGCTGTCTCACAGGGCAGGAAAATAAATATTTTATTTCTTTTAGCTAGAAAAAGAAAAAAATGACAAAGAAACCCACATTACACCCAGAGGTAAGGGCCCTTATCTAATTTGTGTGTGGTGGATTTTTATGACTTACACTTCATGTTCTGTTACCAGCAAAGGGACCACTGAACATTGTGGTGTATTTCATGAATGTGTACGCAGAGTAAGAAGGGAACCTTGACATGCTTAGTATATCATGGTCACAGGGCTCTGAACAAGCCTTTGTGTATCTAGGGTCTTGAAATGGGAAAGGGCCCACAGCAGTATTACAGTGAAACTGGAGATACATATGCTGCTGCCTTCTGAGCTCTCTAATGTGGTCCCACATTTAAATCATCTCAGCGACTTTTTTCTCATTGATTTTTTTCCTAGCTCATGTGTGGGAGTCAGTGCAAAATCGTTACTCAATCTTTCCATTTTATGTTGGTGTGCAATTCTGGACACAAGCCTGATATTGTTATTAGAAAATTATAAAACACGTAGATAAATTCTGTTTTGCATTATCATCCATCTCATGAATGGAATCTTGTCTTGGAGAAGACTTAAAAATGGTATGGTCACACTGAATAACCTTTGTGATGCTTCCTTCCTAGTGTTCTTAAACGTGTGATGGTGATTATCATAGCAATCCATAGTGGTTTGCTGTATTCACAGGGTGATTTTAAACAAAACAGTAAAACAAAAGGTCTCAAAGAGGAACATATATAGGTTCTATATACATGTACAGATGAATGAGACAATGATTGAAGGCGTGTGGTAATGATGGGGCTGGTAAAAAGGGAAACCAACCCAGTTCCTTCATAGACTTTGTGGAGGGAGCTACTCTATCTACTGCAAATTGTTTGGATTGTTGGGATTGTCCCATAGGGTTGATATGTGAGGTCTGTATGAAATGTATACGTGTCCCAAAGAGCGCTGGTCAGTAGAACAGGTTTGGTAGATGTGAGTGTGGTAGCATGGATCAGAATAAGCTGGGTAGACCATATTCATGGGGTTGGTGATAACCCAAGTTTTATTAGCTTAATTCTGCATAACATGTTCAACAGGAGATTCCGTTTTTTTTTCTTTTCTTTGCTTTTGAACCATTATTAAAGCCAGTAACCCTCTTGTATACTTCTTTTCTCTTCGGTGGGAGTGAGTTTTTGTTTGTGCGAAGTTGCCTCCACCCCGAGTACAGAATCTTCCCCAATATATTTGCTAGCATAAATGCATGTGTAAGCATTTGAAATCCTGCAAGTCTGCTTTTAGGGCATTAAGCCTATTGTATTTTCTTACCTTTCACCATTATGTGGAAGCAGGTGATAGACACCTGCATCAGGGTGTTGCAGTCCTTGTTGTGAACAAGACCAAACAACTTCCTTAACCTCTCAAACCTTTAGAATTCCTCATTGGCAGATGCACATACTTTGGATATCTAAACTATATCTTCGGTCCTGCATGTTGTCTCTGCAACATCTTACAGGCTCCAGCAAGGCCTTTTTTTGTGAACTAGCTGTTGTCGTTGCCCTCTTGCCACATGGTGTTATGCTTGATGGGCATCCAGAGCAGTGCTTGGCAGCTGCAGAACTGCTGTCATTAAACTAGGTGATGTCATTCATTCATCCATTTGACAGGTCAAGAGCACATGCAATGACTTTCTCACTCTGGCCTCATTCAAAGTGACCTACTGCGTGACCTCTGCTATTGGGTGAAATATCTCAGACACCAAGTGTGCGCAACATTCCAATCGCAGTTCTGATGTGTCTGCATTTCATAGTGTACCTTTATACCCTTTTCACAGAAGGTACTGTAGAAGAGGCAACAGACAGTTCCGCCATGTCCTCCTTGATGGTGGTCCTGCTGGTTGAATTAATAGCATACTTGTCAGTTCTTGGATTCAAACGTAGGTCTTCTGTTGTTAATTGAAATGATGAAGTCCTTCTAGAACAACAGTCTTATGACCATTAATATTATACCGAGAGAGCTCATTCTCTGTGACTGTGTTTTTCTTGTCATCTCAGGATGTTTTGTTGTCCTGAATATGTAGTAGACCAATCCAACTTTTAATTTTTGTATTCTTTATTTCAAAGCATCACCATTTAGCATATTTTTGTGCGCACTTCTCTTTCTATCGTTTTGGTAATGTGAGCATGGTGTTAAAAGTGAAAATGCCAAATCCAGTAACCATTTTCACATGCCTTCATGCCATCCTTAGGCTGACTGTTGGCAGGCTGAGCTTTGAACCTGATGCGTCTGAGGACAAGAGGATTGGGTTACCTCCTAAGTGTTTAACAAGCACCTACACCCTCCATCCCCTCAGATAGGGAAGGAAGCAAACTATTACGATGAGGGTTTCGGGGTCAGTTGGTCAGGGATGGTTTTGAGTTTCACAGTCAGTCTAGCATATCTCCCTTAGCTGGATCCAAGTGCATGTGACATGGGAAAACCCCCCTGAATTTCTGCCCCCTCCTCCAGTTTCCATGTCTTCACTCCCGGCTGAGTGTTCTCGCTGTCCAGGCTTACCACCTGCCTTTCTGTGTTTAATTGCCTGGATGGATCACTGATCTGCATTCTTGTTTTTCCTTTTGGTTTCCTCTAGGTTTCCCTCCACCACCGTGAAAGTAATAAGCTGGCACGGCTCCCTCTTTTGCAGCGGTGGTACCGCCGTGTGCAGGAAGTGCCGGGTGTGGCCAGGGCTGCGGGCACCTGTGGAATCGGCTTCCTTCTCCTCCCGGACTCAGGGTGGCACCCAGCCTTGGAGAGCCGGGAGCTCTGCCCGCCCGAGCAGGAACCTGCAGAGAAAGCACAGGCACCCTTCATTGGAGGCCCAAGGCCCACCATGACCAAACTCAGAGTAATTCAATATTCCTTTTTTTTATTCCCCTTTTGTTTCACAGATGCTTTTTAAGGCGATTTTACACGCCGGGGCAGTTGTTGCTGAAACATGTTCACAGCGTCCGTAAAACTGTCAGCACAAAAGTTTTTTTTTGTTTTCTGCAGTTTCGCACTAATAGGACAGCTGCGTGATTCTGCTCACTTAATGTACTTGTCCTCTTAGTAGGTCTCTGTCCTGTGCCGTAAATGCAGAGCATTTCTTTCATTTTTACTACACAGCCAGTGTAATTTTAGCTTTGACTCTTAAATTGTGTTTTCTTGAGTTCACGGAACACGTTCCCTAAATGTAGTTCAAAATTAAACTTTGAAAGGAGGACAAGCCACCTTTTTTGACAATCAACAGCTCTACGGTATAGATATAAGCTACTAGACCTCTTTTTCCTGGCATTCATCACCTCACCATCCTCTAGTCTCTTGGTTGATCAGGAGCTGCAGCTTCCTCTTCCATATTGGATTAAATCGGTTAGGATAAAGCCGAAAAATCAATAATCAAACTTCATAATCACAATGCCGGGGTTTGTTTGTAGCTTCTGAATGGTAATAACTGTATACCACGTGATGTTTCATGAATTACATGCTTCTTTCAGTGCAGTTATTTGTTTCACTGTCCCACTGTGTGATTTAAATTGATTCTTCAGTGTCTGTATCTGCTTGTAGGTTTTTGCTCCTCTTTGCCTATTGTTTTTATCCACCTGCTGCTGCTGTTTTCTCAAAGCCAGAATCAGTAATGTTTGAGAGGTGTGGGGGGGCTGGGCAGTGTCGTGCCATTTTCCTCCTGAGTGTTGTGTATTATTTCCCCAAACCTCCAACTTTCGGAGACTGAAGTTGGGTTGTATTATGGAGTCCCCCCACATCTCTGAGAAATCAAACGTACAATTTGCTACAAACAAGTTGTAGTGGTATTGCATGGTTCATAATGAAAATTTAGGACAAAGTGGAAAGTAGAGAGAAATGCTGAACAGCCTTTTTTGAGATAAAGACCTCCTTGGGCAGATTCGCAAAACCCTATTCATTGTCTTTTAAATGCCACACTTCCACTTTAAAAGTTCGTTTTTACAAATAGTGTCTCCATAAATTATCTTGAAATGGCATACCGTAATTTTTTTTTCATCAGAATGAATACTTACCCTTTTCTTTTCCTTCCTGTTTCTTTTTTTCTATGTTATTCCAAATGATTAGTTGTAGTATCACTGAGCTACATAGTTATTGCCAAATAATGATTTACATCTCCGCAGCTCAACCCCTGAGGCTGTGTACCTTCATCTAGGACAACACACCGTAATGTAATAAAATGTTCTTTGAAACAGACAATCTAGTGACACGCAGCATTTTGAAAAAGAATGGCATTTTCTGATATTTATCAACAACATTTGTCTGTTCCACAAAGGTTGGCACCTTTAACATTCAGTCTAGTTCAATTTACTATGAAATCTTACTTTGCTTAAAGTGGAAGTCACAAAAAAATCCTGTCATATAATGAACCATTTCATAGTTCACTTAGAATCCTTGCTGTCCCCTACAATCCTAATTTCCACTGTGTAGTACTGTACTAAGTAATTCTATAAGCCCAAAGTGGTGGTCCCTAGCACTTTATCATCCAAAGCTAATTTTAGGTTTGAGATAAATTGACACAGCTGGGGTGATGGAGTTCTGTGGCTTTGAGTCACTATCCATTCCTTCTCATTACATCCCAATGGTCTTAACTGCTGTGCTGGGCAAAGTGCTTCTTACACCTACTAGGCATAAATTTAAGATTTCCTGCTGGGTAAAGAACACGCATGGGAGAAGTTCATATAAAACAGTTGTAAAAGGAACACAGAGACCTTGTAAATGTGATTTTTTCCCCGTGTCCTGCAGATGGAATTACAAGTTCTTGTGTGTCTCCAGACTGGGCTTTGCTGCACCTGTTGTTGGTGCCGCCTTCTGTTGTGCAAACAAACCCTGCTTCTGGAGCCAAGCAGATATCAAGCTTGGCTCCCAAAGTGACATGCTATCCTGTTTTGCGGCAGGAAAATTTACAGTACTGTGCATTAGTCATGTCTGGAAATGATGAATATGCAGAAAGCACTTCAGTTTGGATATGTTAAAATAGAGTACGTTGTGTGTCAGGAAATAACACAATAAGATAAGATCACTCTGTTAGCCATATATAATTTCTTGTGTTTGGAATTTGTCTTTTCACATACCCCAGCTTGCTCTCCATGAGACACACAGACGGGGAGAGAAGCTTGGGGTCAGAGCTCAGGGTCTACCTTTTATCTGGCACCCCTGGAGCACATGGGGTTAAGGGCCTTCCTCAGGGGCCCAACAGAGTAGGATTCCTCTGCCGGCCGGGGGATATGAACCAGTAATCTTCTAGCCACAGGTGCAGATCCTTAGCCACAGAGCCACTGCACCGCCATCACAGAGCCACCACACCCCCTGGAGGGCTGTCCTTAAAAGGACTGCTCTCTCTAGCCAATAAGAATAAAAAAAGAATAAAGAACCAAACATCTGAGCATCTTTATACAGTATAAATATATTACATATGTATATTCATATAATTAAGATGCCACCAGTATATAAGACTTGAAGACCTGATAAATCTGTAGTGCAAATGTTTATATATTTTTGTAGACCCAATGTAATTGTTATGCCAAGCCTTTGCACTAAAATTTCATGAGCTAGTATGATTTGTAGTCTGTCCTTTTATATGCAGTACACTGTACAGCACAGTACTGGGCTCTCCAAAGGTATTGGGACAGAAAAGTTAAAAATGTTTGCTTTTTGCTTTATATTCAAGAAAAATTTGAATCCGTGATCATGAGATTAATGTGAAGAATACAAGCAATAAAATGTATTTTTCTTTTTTATTTAATGTATTTATTTGATAATATTAGAACAAAAACATTCTTCATGTTCAAACAAGTGATTTAAAATAGCCATAATTATTAGGGCACATGCACTTTCAGTACATTTCTGTGTTAAAAGTCTACATTTAGTTGGACATTCCTTTGAGACAATACCTCCATTCAGCTCACCAACCTCCTTATGTCATCATTCATGGTGAATTGCTGGTGTTGGCTGTATGTTGTGGCTGATTGTCATGCTGCTTGGTGAAGCATCATCCAATAACCATGAAATAATTTTCTTTCTGTAATCTGTAATGTCTTTAATCTTCAGAATACATTCTGCTGGTATGTTTACATCATTAATAAAAAACAAAAAAAAGGACTGACTTGCTTTTCTTGTACGTTGTTAGCAGTATAATAAGTCACCAGCCTATAGGACTGCTAAAATACTCATCTTGTATTTAACAAATACAAAATAAGCATATTTCTGAACTATATCCATGGTGGCTAATAATTACTAAGGTGATTTTCTGCAAGCTGTTTTTTTTATGAATAGCTGGAAGTCAAGATAATGAAGAAATTAAACAAGGGGGAAACGCAGACAGTTGTGTAACCCTGCTTACAGTATATGCAGTACTTTGTACTTAAAATGTTTAGGATTTAAGATCTCTATTTAAAATACATAAATAGTTCTATAATGTAAGTAATGCAAGAGACAGGCGTGGACGATCTAATGTAATGTCATGATTTTCTTTGCTTCAGGAATGTGGCATTGAGGCTGTTTTCACTCCTCATCCTTGTCCTTCATGGACCCTGGATTGGAACAGCCTTCCAACAGCTGTCAATCCCACTGAAGGTGAGCAATTTTGTAACGTCCCTAAGGATGAAAGCGCTGTATAGCGTTGTGACTGTAGCTGTTTGTGCGTGCTATCCTAAGCAGAGTTGCACATCATGTAGGCTAATGCAGTATATACTGTAGGCACAATTATCTTTCATGAGGGGAAATAACATTGTTTCATTTTTAGGACAAAACAATCACTTGTAGTTCCACATCTATTATAGCTTATTTCCTTGAGGTTTTTTTCAGGGTCCAATTTTGGTACCTTTGCTATTTTCTATTAATTTCTCTTTTATTGGACCAGATTCTCTGGCAATTTGTTATCGTGACCTGCTGATGATTACATTTATTTAAAGACCACATCTGATGCTATTTTGGCTGTTTCTTCTTAATGCTGTCTACCTGACGGAAAGAAATCATGGATGCAACAAAATAGTTGCTGAAGGTGTGGTGAAGCTTCATGGCTGACTGCAAAATCAACTTCTGTAGTGTTATTGTTGGTTGGGAGATTTGATTCTGTGTTGGGATCATAAATCAGAACATTTGCTATTATTGGTCCAAATTCATTTCTCAGTCTCATGTTTGTAATACTGTAGATCTACAGTGTCATTTTCTCATTTACTCCATGCTGTGCTCTCACATTCCTCAGGGTAATGGATGCTAAGAAATGTGTCCTACCCTTAAGTTGTCTGGAACCTTTTATTATGACACTGTACAAGATGAGAATTCATTCTGCTGGCATGTTTACATCATTAATAGAAACCAAGAAACAGACTGACTTGCGTTTCTTGTGTGCTGTTAGCAGTATAATAAGTCACCAGCTTACAGCTCCAATAAAATGCTCATGTTTTATTTAAGAAATACAAAATAAACTTGTTTCTGTACTACATGCATGGGGGCTAATAATTACTAAGGTGATTTTCTGCAAGCTGTTTTTCTTTTACCAAATAGCTGACTTTACATATTCGACTGTGTACAAATTGATGATCTGTAAAGAACTTTGCTGACTGTCTGTTAAAGAAACTAGCATCATCCTGCTATCCTGCCATCTCTGCATTTCTATGGCTTTCCTTCTGGCTACTTTCAAAACCATGGAATAACTCTGTAATATGTCACCTGCCGTAGTCTACGAGTGACCTAGGTTTTGGAATGTGTGGTTATGTGAATAGATTTTAATTGTGCAGCAATAAAGATTGTAAATAATGTTATAAATTATTCATTAGTATTAATATCCCTTCATGATATTGCATTATTCTTTTACGTTTCTTATGGTGAGTGCTAAATCCTATGTTGCTTAGAAGGTATGCATGTTATTGTATTGAGAAGGTAAAGTTTTTTATTAAGCCTCAGACATTCCACTCTTGTTAATATTTTTTGTTTCTTTTTTTACCCGAACAGTAGAAAAAAAACATATAACCAAATAATTAAGGGTTTAATGGATTTTTGTTATGATTTTGCTGTCTTTATCCAGCAGTGTATCTGTCCATGTATTGCAAAGTTCCTCTTCGATGTATCAAGTACTGTATGTGTAATTAGTAAGAGCCAGAACAAGAGTAAGTCAGTTTGTACAGGGTTTCGTTGAGAACGTTTTTCATCTGTCTACACTTTCTGCCTTCACTGAGGTGATAACAAGGCACACAAAGAGCTACAAAATAGCAGTGCTTCAGGGAAAACTGTCTGCTGTTAGTTTTGAATGTGTTTGTTTAGAAGCTTTCAAGCAAGAATATATTAATCGTGATGAGAACATTCTGAAGACAGGTAGCCAGTGATGTGAATACTCAGCTGATTGTCAAAGCTATTTATAGTCAAACTATGCAGCTGAAGAATTGAGTATTTGACAAGAATAAGAAAATAAAGAAACACATTACACTAATTCTTAAAGTACGAACTAATGAGTGTTTTTCTTTCAAAATGAGAACATATGAGTACATATCCAAGGCAAAAGTAGAGTGTGGGTTTTACTTATATTTCTGGATGCAGTGTTGATTGTATAATAACACATGGCCTGCTCCATTTATATATTTGTATATATATATATTTTCCATTTATATAAACTGAACTGGATGTTGGCAGTTGTTTTTTAATGTTTCCTTTATTTCTGCTTACGTTTCAATAGGTGTTACTTAAAAGGGAAATTAATTTGTTGAAAATTTCATCAATGTGAAGCACTTGATTGTACAGCATATTTTAAAATAGAAAATCTGCATGTTTTTTTCTGTACTACTTTATATAGTGGGTACTGTTTTCAAACAGTCCTGATTAGAGAATTTGCTCATTTCACATGGGTTACCCTTTGTGCACATTACAAAGCTTTTTACTTGTCATATGCTGTAGAGCTTTCTCTGGTTCTGTACTTTTTTGTTTGACAACAGGCCTACACCCATCAAGCAAAGAGTTTTGCAGTTGCTGAAAAATGTCTGTAAAAAAGATTAGGATTTTGATTATTTAGCATTCAAAAAGCTAAATGTGGCATATTGTACTAGAGTTGTGGAGTTCTCATGAGCAACATGGGCCACATGTGCCTTAAGAATGAAGTTTCACATTTGGGATGAAAACCCGATAATGTTGTCACACTATTACTGTATATGGTATTGCCATTAAAGCACTTTTTTTATGATTACAGGAAGAAAATTTAGTAGAGAGTTTTTGCAAAACCAGACTTTCCATTTCAGATTTTGTTTTTCTGACCAATACAGCAGCTAAATTCTTAAGGGTGCATAGCGAAGTTGTTCTGTTCTTCTCAACACAATCAGTTTCTTCAACTTCAGTTTCTCTCAGATGAACCTGTTTTCAGTTAGAAGTGTATTTTCAATTCTTCATGCATTTAATGCACCCTCATACTCGAGCAAAGAAGAAGAGAACAATAATTTGTGTTAATAATGCACTTACTTGTTCTTTTCTCCAACCTATGACGTTTTTTATTAAACCTCAGACATTTCACACTTCTTCATATTTTGTTTCTTTTTGGGCTGAGCATTAGGCTATGGGCTGGAGGACTGATGCAGTTCTTGCTGACAACAAACCTGCAAATGCATAGGTGCCCAGCTAGCCAGATGGCATTACTTTTGCGTGGGAAGATGAAGCAACCTCAACCAACTTCAAACCTTCCTACCATCAGCACTTTTGTTTTTCACTTCTTGATGGATCCCTGTCGGTGTCTGCAAGGCCATTGTGTTGATCTGAAGTAGTGAGTTATATAACCCAGCCTACTAATGAAATACCTTTATTAACTGAGTCATGATATCTGGGAGCCCTGCCACTTCGTTTATGACTATACTATTGAGTAGATAGTAAAGCTCTGTTATTTTAGCAACTCATTCCCTGAACAGCGTTCTTTTAACAATCCTCCCAGAAAGTGTGATAGAGCAGTAAAATGCTTATGGGCAGTGCTTTGATGTCCTTTGGTGAATTTCTGTCCTGGGCACAGTCTGTTAAATACTAAATTACTGTCTAGCTCCAGTTTCTCACATTCTTCTTTTCCAAAGTTATTTTTGCTGATACATTTTGTACTACAATACAGCCTGTGACTTTGACTTATTATAATAATAATAATAATAATAATTGCTTACACTTATATAGCGCTTTTCTGGACACTCCACTCAAAGCGCTTTACAGGTAATGGGGACTCCCCTCCACCACCACCAATGTGCAGCATCCACCTGGCTTGGTTGGACAATTCTTTTTACTGGGTGGCAGTGTTATACCTCAAACCAAAAGCTGTTTTCATTAGGACCTGAGACAGCACTCTAAGTTGGAGCAAGTTAATATACAACTTTTTGTGGTCATCTGATACATTTTCCACATCCATCTTTATCTTATGTATAATTGCCAATATCCACATGCTCTGATCTGTTTTAAGACACCTGTCTCTTTCCTTACTTAACTATTTCAGGCCACCTTTCTGATCTTTATTTCCTTATCTTCTTAATTTTTGTTCAGTATTGTAGAGCGATAAAAATAAATGAATCAGCTTTTTGAAGGTTTGAAGTCTTTATCATTTGTTATTGACATTTGCTATGTGGTTTAAGCTGTCAAAACCGTATAAAAAACATTTTGGCAACGTTTTTCGACAAATCTAGCAGTGAGTGTTAAATGAACACTTTGGACATTGGAGGGAATGTGTGCTAGCCTTGGCTGAAAATAACTGTTTAAAGATTTATTTCAGATCTGTTAAGGGGTCAGAGACGGTCGGGAGTTTATTTCCCCTGTGAAGCTCAGGCTAGTTCCACTATCTCTAGCTATCTGCACTGCGATCTACTCAAGGTGTTAGAGGCTGATGATGGCAGTCTGAGGCTGTGCTGACCTCATGACCTCCTGTCTGGGGAGGCTTCCCTCTGGACTACCAATCTATCTGCTGTCAGATTTGTCCATTATGTATGTGACAATTTTGCAGTAATTTATTTATTTATAGTTGGGATACCCTCGGGAGGACTGGAGGGTATTCCGTTTTTCATTTCACCTCTCTGCTTACTGCAACATACTGTACTCATAATATGCCTTATTCAAAGATGAAAACAGTGTCTGTGAAATATGCAGGACTTGGATCTCTTTAGATTAAGAAATCCCAAAAAACATTAACCCTCTTAGAAGCCTGTTCGATTATTTTATTTTTCCATCTGAATGCATTGAAAGTAGTTGGGATTAGGGAAGATAAAAAAAAATATTTCTAAAGTTCTTATAATCTCAAATGCATTAATAAAGCTATATCTTCTCATAAGCCTAATAGCAACTGACGTATTGTATATTATTACCAAAAGTAGTTAAAATTAACTGTAACATATAAATTATTTTAAAATGTATAATTCAAAGTTAACAGCTTGTCGCATTTGTGACCCATTATCGAAAGGTTTAGCAGTTTATTTAATGTAAACCATGACAAATTTTGTCCACTGCATTTTACCATAAGAATATAAGTACAAATGAGAGGGGTTCATTTGTTGATCTTACCTATTTGGTAGGTAGTAGGTAATTGAACAAAGAATCTCATCCAGCCATTTCTTGAAAGAAGCTATATCCTG